AATTAGAAAAAGATGAAGAACAAGCTGAAATTAAAGTTAATCTACATTGATAGAAACTGGCATTAATCATTCTTCGATCCTCATTAACGCGCGCGTTCTAACTTGTAATCGCCATTAATGAAACGTATTTAATAGACAAATTCCTTGGATAAGAGGCCACGCGGTCCAAAGGGCGCGAGTTCGTGGCTGCTGTCGATGATGTCTACAAGATCGTGGCACGCCGGTGAGGTAGCGGGTATGCTCGCCCTCGCGCGCACTGAATCGCCAACCGCGGAAATGACTCTCGAAGAGTGCAGGGATAAAGTCGTTGAGAGATTGATCGAGGCCGTTCGCCGCACCTGTCACGATCGCGACGATACCGCCCATCGAGGAGCTCTTTGGCGTGCTACCGCTCTTTTAATATCCATGCCCGGTAAATTTAAACTAATCAATTTTGTTGATCAACGTTACAAACCGTATGGAATTAATCACTTATCTAATTGACTTTGGAAGATTGATTTTGTTGATGCAATTTATATTGGTAAGCATTATTTTTTTTCAATTTGCACTAATCACACCTTGTGGATTTTTAGGAATACACAGACGATTATTACATACGGTTGCATGCTCGCAGATAGAACTGTTTACGAGCGCAGCCATGACCACGGCGGTCGAGTGCTGGCAGTGGATCTTAACTGTACGGCCAGATTTGAAGTTGCGATTTTTGCAAGAGATGTTACTCGCATGGCAGTATACCGTTGATAAGAAAATGGGCCTGTTTACACCGAACGAGCAAGAAGTGAGTCCTCTTGCGGTCTACGAGGGCTGCAAACTAGGTCCTAATCCGCCATACGTAAAACCGCACGATATCTGGGTGACCTTCATAGTGGAGCTCGTAGAAACAGCCAAGTATTGTTGTCAGGAGACGGTCGATATGATCGCCTTACTCCTACACCGCTCGTTACCTATGACGGTCGGTGCATCTGGCGAAGAACCTGGCATCACTCGACACGTTGCCGCGGTGGGCGTGCGTTTCAAACTTCTTTCATGCGGCTTAGTACTGCTGCAAGGTGACGTTTTACCAAGGTAAAATATATTTTCTTTCATTCTTTCGCGTGAACGACTCGACATGATAAGAAAAAATAATTGGATCTACTTTCGTAGAACTTTAAGTAAAAACGTCCTGCGAGAACGTGTCTATTCCAATTGTCTGGATTTCTTTTGCCGAGAACGTCAGTTGCCGACCCAAGAAATCGACCAGCTTAGCGAAGACATAGTTACGCTCATACGTTTTTGGCAGGTAAGTACAGCACGTTAAGGGGCGAATTAAAATATTCTGATTTATATAGAAATAATTTATGGAAATTATAATGAGATTATCTCTCTCTCTCTCTCTCTCTCTCTCTCTCTCTCTCTCTCTCT